CGCTTGGTGATGTGAGAGCCTGGTCCGGTGAGAACCCGGCGTGCTCCGTCCCGGCTTTGTAGGGATGCGAGGGCAATGGTCTAACGACTACGGCATGCACGACTATGAGTACCCCCCCCCCCCCTCCCCACCGTCTGGTTCATCCTTGAAAAACGTAGCCTGGGCCGGCGAAATCGCTCCGTGGGGATGCGAGGTCCACGGTAAAAAAAGGGGTACGTTTAAATGAACACCCCCTATATCGCTCCGCCCTCTCCATGATGAGAGGTCAACGGTCTACCGTCTACGGAATGCGTTTACGTGAATACACACCCCTCCCCCGCCGCGCCGTCCTCTCGAGGATGCGAGGTCAAGGGTCTACGGCATGCGACCCCCCCCCTTCCCCCCCCCACCTGCTCAATGTCTGACTCGTCACCGGGACCGTTCCTCCAGACCCTCCTAGCGGACGGCCTCGCCCTCCCCTGCCGTGCCCTCTCCGCCGCCGCCGCCGCCGCCATCGCCGTACGTGAAGCCCCCTTCCCCCGTCTAGCGGAGGCGGTAGTGGACGCGGTCCCACGCGCAGAATCGCCCGCTGCTGCTGCTGCTGCTGCCGCTGCTGCTTGAGGTCTCACGCTTCTGCTGCTGCCACTGTCGTAGGCTTCGAGCGTGGCGACGGTGGCGGAGCTGACGCTGTCGCTGGCGGTGCTCCGGGAGCTCATGTCGACTATCCTCCCCTTGCGGACGGGCCGGGCCCCGAGGTAAAACGTGAAGCCGAGCAGGAGGAGGAGGCCTACGGGCCCTATGGTGACGATCCTGTGATACGAAGGACGTAGGTACCACATAGAAAAATTGGAGAGAAGAGGAGAGGAGACCAAACAAGAGCACCAACAACAAGAGGCATGGAGAGAGATGGCTATGACGAGAGTGACACGGGAGCTTGTCGTAGCATGCGATGACGGAAACTCACCATCAACAACATCACAACAACATCACAACAACAACAACAACAACAACAACAACAACAACAACAACAACAACAACAACAACAACAACAACAACAACAACAACAACAAAAACAAGAGGTGGGATGGACAGCGTCAGAGTCACCAAGCCTCACAGAAGCTTTTCGTAGAAGCCAACTCCCGAAATCACGACCAACGGCATCGCAGCAGAAGCAACAACAACAAGCGAGATTTGATCGAACAACAGAGTCAGCCTCACAGAAGCTTGTCGTAGAAGTCGACGCCCGCTGTTAGGCACGCCGCCGATATCATCCAGCCAAGGTCGAACGAAAATATCCCGATGATGGACAGGAATTTCTCGTATACGGGGGGGAACGGCACCTTCGTGATCTCCGCAAACTGAAGGGAAGGAAGAGAAAGTCGTCGGCCGTTCATAGCGGCGGCGAGACGTTTGTTTTCGGTTACACGCGCGAGAGGGACGAGTAACGTAAGAGATGTGTCTTGGGGGGCAAGAGGATGGAACTACACTGCACACTGGCTGCGGAATCGTCCGGCAGAGAGAGAGAGAGAGAGAGAGAAAGAGAGAAAACTGAGGATCTCTGGACAACATTCACGGCATCGACATTCCGCCCCCAAAAATGATTCATCAAAAGAGAGTAAAGTGCGAACACCGAGTTAGCTCTGTCCCACCACAGCGCCTGGCAGCGCAACACTCGAAGTAGCTCTCACCGCGTTCGATATCTGCCACACGACTGCCATCATCACGAGGGGTTCCGTGGATCGGTGGAAAGCCGGGGGATAGCAACAAGGAAACACAGCGGCAAAAAGGACGACGACAACGGTGAGGGAAGGGGGGACATCGCAGAAACGTTTGAGGGGGGGGAGGGAGAGGTCGTGAGGGTCAAGGAAGTCCTGCGAAATGTACCCATCAAAAAAAGAGGGCGTCGAGAGTTAACCGGCTCTTCACAATGCTGTACTAGGGGAGCCTATAGCAATGCTCCTGCACGCGCGCACGTTGGGTCTGTCGCGTACGATTATGGGAGCGAGATTCAACGCAGACACTGTAGACGGTCGCCCAGGCAATGGAAGAAACAACACGGATAATACACATACGCACCTATGACGATCTTGAGCTTGGACAGGGGCAGACGCGCCAGCATCTCCCCGATCCTAGCAGCGGCCGTCTTCTTCCTGTCGCCGCCACCCCCTCCTTGCTGCTGCCGTCCGCGTGGCCCCTTCCCGCCACCGCCAGGGCCCCGCGCGGCCGGCGCAGCAGAGGGTTGTAGGTCGCGGCCGCTGCTGCTGCTCCCCACCGTGTTGTTGCTCACGTCTGCCTCCTCTTCGTTGTCGGCCCGCCGCATGGTGGGGGGTACAAGGATGCCGCCGGCTGCAGTGCCCCCCACGGCGGCGGCGGCACGGCTACGAGCAAGAGGAGCGAAGCCGGCTACCACGGTGCCTGCAGAGTCCGACTTGCTCCCGGCGCCCTTACTGTCGTTGACGGAGCTCGATGGGCCTGAAGCCGCAGCAGAGGGGGTGGTAGTAGAGCCGGGAGGAGGGGCCCCGATTCTGGTGCTCTTCCGGCGACCCCATGCCCCCAAGAACCGGCCGCTTCCGCCACTTTCACCGCCATCGCTCTCCTCGCCAACGCTCTTGAGAGCGCCACCGCTCTTAGAGGGGTGCTCCCCGCTGCTCCCGTCCCCGCTGGCGCTGAAGTTGAAGCGACGGTTCGTCCCCTCCGAACGGAGCAGGCCGGAGCCGCGCCTCTGTAGCATCCTGACCGATTCCCGGGTGTTGGTCATGGTGGTTGACACCGCGCCCCTACCTCCCACCTGATTGGCGCGTAGCGTTGTGTTTTTACGCGGGTGGGGGGTCAGGTTTTAATGATTTGGAGGGCAGGAGTTCGGCGTTTTTGGTTTTCGGTAAACCCGCCCCATCATACATTTTCTTTTCTGCGTGACATGCCAAAACACCAGGTTGCAACACACTTTTGATGTCTGGGAGATAAGGACTTGCAAACAGCGGTGGTCATATATATGAATATCCGAGGGCCTGATGCGCCAACCAAGCAGAGACACACCCTAGAGTGCCATGGCAGCTAGGTGTGCTCTCGCTTGCCGTAGGCGCTCGGACGGATACATCCCCGATGGAACTCGCGGTGCGGCAACATTTCTAGTCTCTTATTCCAGGCCACATGTGGCGGTGAAGCTGGGAGATCGTCAGCTAGGGGTAGTATTGTGGGGGGGCGGTTGTCCGGAACACCACTGGCGGGTGCGTCATTTCACATCTGCGGTGATTTCCGGAGACAAACAGCTAAGCAACGTCATTCAGTCTTCCGAACAATGAACGTCCGCCGAATCAAACCAAGCCCTTCATCGCTGCTCTATCTTCTTTGTCTCACCAGGTACACCGCTAGCAGTGCGGCCACGAAGAGCGTCAGCAGCGCTGCGACAGCAAGTACGAAGTACATGCCTCCCTTGAAGCTAGCCGTACACAGGTGGCACGCGTTTGCCACCCCCCTGCCGTACCCCGGGGCACACACGGCGCACTCTGCAGAGCGGGGTAACGGACGAACATACCGCAGGCACGCAGGCGGCAGAATACATCAGGTCGAGAGGCGGGGGAGGGTATACTCATACTCATAGTCGTGCATGCCGTAGTCGTTAGACCATTGACCTCGCAGGGGAGGGGCGGGGATTAAGAACATTCACTCCCCCCGTCGGGCCATGGAACAGAAGCAACTGCAAACGCCGCCGCCAGCTGTTTATCGCCACTTCGAACGACACCAGGCCCCACGTGGTCTCAGACAGACAACGAGAAATGAGGACACACACCCCAACCCCCTGTACATTATATCATACGGGAAAAACAAGAGTTTCACAACCAGGTGAAAATGATAGACTAAAGGATGCTTTACTTGAAGTAGATGAAAAACTATACACTCACGGGGCCCCTCGTAGCCGGCGTTGCAGTACTCCTGCTCACTGGCGACGATGCTTCCTCCTTGGCAGGCGTCCTGTATCGTGATCCATCGTCACGATTCGAGCATGAGTCGGGGTGGGGTTAGAGATATTGCAGGGAACGTTTCACTACCTAGGACCAAGGGAGAGGGTTTTGATCACCCTCAGCTTTGGGTCTCGATCAAAAACCCGGGTAGACCTGAGACACCGTCGATGAGGAAATGTAGGACACTACACGAGTTCATATCAATCTGATACCACACGGCTTGCATGCTCGCTAGAAGATCACCCCCAAGGTCCAAGAGTATCAAACACGCCCCCCCTCTTCCTGCCAAGTTATCGTGGCAAAAACATGTCCCTACTTCCGGACAAAAACTGTTCGCGAATGAACAACGATGATCCTTCACAACACTGGCTGAATCAGCCCTCCTTTTTCAGACGAGCAGTACCTTTCAATTCACTCCATACAACCCTTCAATTGCAACCGGCGTATCGGCTGCGTTGTGATTCACTACACCAGATGCGGGCCAGCAGTCAATAAATGTCTATTTCGGGCTGGGCCGGGCTCAATTTCTCATATCGTGGCATGATCGTCGAGCTCGTGTACCCATTAACATGCGGTACACTTTAACGTAGTACCCACCGTTGGAGCAAAGTTTCTCGCTCCTCCTTTCATATTGTATCTAACAAAATTTGAACCTCGAATGAACAAACCATACCATGTATATGTTTTTTTTTTTTTTGCCATCCGACAATTGCAGATGTACCTCAGAAAACTTTCACTTAATGTCTCATACTCTACATGAATATTAAACCAATACGAAGTACAACAACATATGTAGGACTTATTTCTACTGTCATTTACATCGTAAAAATATCTCCTCTTCAACTTGAAATAAAACCAATGACAATCCTGATGGTATCCTATATGCGTTCGTAAGCTTGCTAAAATACTACTGCGTTGATGTCCTCTTGTAAAAGCTGAAATCCAACAAATGCTTTGATCCATGCTACATCTCCGTGTTGGAAAAGCCCTTTCATCTCCGTTCATGATAACATCTTACCCTATTCTACGCAAATCTGTCACATCTACTCTCAAACAAGACGCCAACTTCAAACGAAAACGCGTTCTACGATGCGTCTACACTCCATCCCCATATCATTGGCGTTGACTGGTCCGAGGTCGATCTTGTTCGCTTGTTTTCGGCGTCTTGACGCCCGCGCAATGCGAGCTTGTACCTCTGCACTCGCCGAGATATGGCCACCTGTGTAGCCACCGAAACGATCTGAAGAAGTCGTTCCTTGAAGACTCCTTTCAGAGCCATCGTTCCTCCGTCCCTTCCTCCCACGGCATGTGTCGCAAGTTCATCGATGAACTCGTAACCCTCCTCTCCAAGGCGGCCAAAGCTTTCCACGGCTAAGGTGGTAAGTTTAAAGCTGCGTTCGTCAAAGGACACGTGTCCCGGACGAGCGTAGTGCTGACGCTTTCGCGCCTCGGATGCTTGGGCTGCGATTCCATCGCTGGTCGCGCTGCCGTTCCGCAAGTGTACCTGTGCTTGCGGGTCTGCGTGTGTGACATCGAGGAGTATTCCTTTGTTGCGGTACCCCGGAGAAGATGCGTTCGTGAGGGCTCCTGGCCTGATGACGATGTCCATGCTCAGGTTTCTTTCCCCCGTGAACGGTGCCCCGCTTTCAACGTCGTGTTTGACGCGAACGCCGTTGAGTGCTCGTGCATGTTGACCTGTGCTCCATCCCTTGGACAGGTCCTTGCGTGCACCGTTGTGATGATCTCGCCTTCCCTGCCTCTGTGGCACCTGGGACATCTTTCCGCCAAGAATTCTTCAACTCCCAAGGCGCGTCTCGTCGCGTAGACGAATTCGTTCGATGGAATCTCTCGAGCTCGGTCGGTGGGAGCCGCTCTCAGGAACGCGTGCCCCCCTTGCCCTTGCGAGCTTCTCGTTCGTGCGTATGCCATGTTCCTGGCCTCTTGACCTCCGTAGGGGTTGTCCCGCGTGGGTGGTACCGCCTCCTGAGGGAGGTGCTCCAGAGACTCCATGAACTTTTCAAGTTGTATCTTGTTAATCGCCTTGCCCAGTTTGTGCTGAGCTTTCCTCGGCGTAGTAGATTCCCCATCGTGTGCTGCCAGTTCTGCAACGGTGGGCTGACGCCTTCCGGTTTCTCCTGCCGGTTCTAAGGCCCACTCAACCCATGACGGGGGGAATGTTGATTTTTCACAAAATTCAACTATTTTCTGGGTTTTGGGACGAAAAGTCGTCACGCAACATTTTTCTTATTTGCCCGCACCGAAACCTGAACCATGTCCTTACCTCGTTGAAGCATTGGCGGATGTAGACGGAATCCAGCGAAGCTCGCCAGTACCCCGGTTGGACGGGGAGAGTTCGGGTCGTCGCGCCATTTTCATCGCAGTTAACCCCCTTCCAAGTTTAATTTCACCGCAGAAACAACCCAGACGACAACAAGCAAAAGGCAAGGTCGGCCAACGTTTCAAGGGTCGTGAAATGCACGTGGTGGCCGTCTTTTACCCACCGTTTGCGGCTGAGTGGCGGAGAAATGGGTTGCCGTTGTTGTCACCGTCATATCTCTTGCGCCGTCCCACGTTCTTCGCGGGTGTTTTACCGCCTGTTCCGTGCAACACCGACCGGTGGAGACCCGCATCACTGCGGTTCACCGCCCAGGACAGATGCCGTTGTCGTCACACACAAAGCACTTCGCATGTCACAATACAAAAGGAAAGCAAGCGAGAAAAAAAGAAAACAATCGTGGGTGGACAATGTCACAATTGACGCACACGAAACACGAACGAGCGGGCGATGAAGAACAAAGAGACATTAGTGGGTACGAGGGTATCGCGCTACTCCTGCGGCAACGCGCTCACGTCTTCGTCTCCACCGACATCCGTGCACAGCTCGCAGCAAGCGGACTCTTTCGCATCGCACGAGTTGTTCCAGTATGTCCCGCTTTCGCAGCGGACGAAGGACACGTCGAAGGAAGCAGTGGCTGTCTCCCTCTCCCCAACATCCGCTAACGAAGTGGTCTGGACGACGCCAGCAGCGGCGGTCTCGGCGACAGGAGAAGCGGGAGGAGGCATCCCGTCCGCCTGGAAGCTCACTGTGGTCTCTCCGTTGAACTCTTCGCTGGGGAGGGTCACCACGTGGAGTGTGATGCTGTCGCGCAGGGGGTACGGAAGGAAGGGATAGGGTTCCGTACAGCTCTTGATGTGCACGAGCTCGGAGCAATCCAATCTGTGGGATGCCCCAACATAGACAATATAGGTTTTAGAATAGGGATTGGGACAATATAGGTCTAGCATAGGGAAGGAGGACCTGTTCTTGTAGGCAGGTCCAGTCGAGGTTATGTTCAATGCATCCTTGTGAGGCGGTGGAGCGCGTGGTGTAGCGTGCGGTCGCGCGAAATGTAACTAACGTGGAGTGTTGGGGGGTAGACGAGGGTCAACGCGGCGCGGAAAGAAGGACACCGAAAAGGGCAAGTCTCATGAAAACAACAACGACAATCACCTTGCTACCCCGACCCTCTTGTTGCAACACTAGAGGGTATCAAGAGGGTATATCAGTGGGCACACTACAACAAAACAACAACACCGCCACTTTGCACAACAACACGGCGATCCAGCGACAACAACGCCTCCTAAACAGCCTCCTTCACCTCCGCCCCGGGAGCAGCAGACCGGTCGACGGAAACACCGTCCAATCCATTAACCCTTCCTCCGAAGACAACAGCAACGCCGAAACGTTCCAAATCACGCCGCCTTCGGTCCCCCCCACCCCCGACACGACTACCCCGGAGCCCCCTGCACTGCTGGTAGTGGTGGCGGTTTCATCGTCATTAAGGGTGAGGAGGAGTTCCCCGTCGAGCTTGGTAGGGAAGACGGCGTCAGCGGGTTCCGACAGCACCGTGAGGTTAAGCAGCCCCGGGTCTCCCGTGACGCACGTCTCGGCGGGGGAACCCTGCAGGGAAGGGTGACGGGGGTGGGTTTGAGCGTGTGGTGTTCTTGGAGCACGAAAATGGAACGTTCGTACGTGCAGGGGCAACAGCTCCGCTTCTCAGACATGAAAAAAATACTCTTCACAATGATCCCGAGTGCGTGAGCACAGACAGGCATGGAACTCCATCCGCCATGCACACACAAAGTGCCTCTTAAATATATACAAGTAACAGTAGTACAAATACATAAAGCTTACTCTTTTACTTAACATATCCCTACAGTTGTACGTGTGGACTACTATTTGGAGTAAACGCTTGTTAAACCTGCGACGGAACGGCAAGTGCCAAAAGACGACACCAAGGTTCTATCTGTCGACCGCCATCACTGCCACCGCTATGGTAGTCAACGCATCACGATATTCGTACCCGATTCCGTCTAATAAAGTGCGGACAAAAACGCCGACAAGAGCAACTCTTACGCATGCACGCGCACGCCTCTTGTCCCTTTCTCTCTCGGTACTATGTTGGTGGCCAGCGCAACACAATGTTCGCACTCGATTCCGCCTAATATTGCGCGGACCATAATCACCGACAACAACAACACACGCATGCACGCACCTCTGCTATGGAAGACTCCCGCGTGTAGCACTGACAGTACACCCCGAGGTCGCCGTCGATACACGGGGACCCCTCGCTGCAGGGAGGGGTCGACGAGAACCGCATCCATCCGTCGCAAGTGACATCTACGTTCATCAGCGGTTCGGCCGTAGGGATCTCGTTGGCCGTCGAAGCCGCCTTCGCCACGTCGAAATCTGATGATTTCGTGAACAACGATTTCAAGAACAACGGCTTCATCAACCGTTTCATCGGTTGTTGTCTCAAATGGCGTTCGTTCACGTTCGTCAGCGTGCCGACCGTCAAGATCTCATTCGCTGTCGACGAGTCCGGCGACGTCGAAACTTGACACTATGGACGGTGCCATCGGTTTCACAAATATTTTCATCGGTTTCTCGAATGGATGGTTTTCACGATTCCATCGTTTTTGAGTCGTACGCGGTATCCACGTTCAGCAACGAGCGGGCCGAGGAAATCTGATTCGCTACCAACGGTTTCAATCACCGGTTTCATGGAAAGATTTCATGGAATGGTTTCATCGTTTTTGTCACAAGTGACTTTCACCTTCGATCGGACGTCGAAGCAGCCTCGGCGACATCGAAATCTGATTTCTGTCATGAACGGTTTCATTTGAGGTAGGCGACGTCCAAATATGATTTTATTATGGGAACATTCGTATCATGAAGGCTGAATGAATCTGATCCTTCTCATCGTTGTAGTCAAACACACAGCAGCAAGTTCCATTCACATGCAGCAACGATCGGGCCGTGGGAATGAATCTGAGAATCTGATACGCCGCTCGACGCAGCCTTCGCAACATCGAAATCTGATTCCACGAACGGATTCACGAACGATAATATGTTGATGTTTCAAACACGGTTTCATCGTTTGTGGTCACGGGTGACATTCGATTTCATTCACGAGCAGGCCGTATGGGATCTCTCTTCCGTCATTTTCGTGCCAATTGTTTCGCGAACGTGTGAATGTGTGAATGTGTGAATGCTGTCGTCACGTCATCCTCGTCTACAACTGTCGTGAAAACTGCTTCGTAGTGAACGCGGTCTCGCACTGTGGAAACGCAACACCTCGAGTGTAGACAGTCTCCGACAGGTCGTCTGGCGTCACACTCTACGACATGTACGAGACAGTCAAAGGGTGATTTTCACTGCACCCATGTTGTTGTTCAACACCCGTTGGGGCGTCAAATTGACAGGGAAGAAACACACGGACTTGTTACTGTTATTAAAATAATAATAGTATTGGGGGGGGGCGCTGCGGATGGAAACTTCTTACAGTTGTTGTCCCCCAGGACGGCGTTCCGCACAGTGGTGAAATTTTCTTCCGACTGGACCAGCACCGAGGCGGTGCTGCCGCTGAAGTCGCAATCGTCTAGATACAGAATCCCTTCGCAGAAGACCACCGCCTGCGAGACAATAGAAAAATCGAGTACTCGATTAATGCAGATAAGCGCGAACGTACGGTGATGCATCTTCTCTCAAGGCCATCAGCCTACGTGAAAAAACTCGCGTGAGTAGTGGCGCACAGACGAGAACACTTGCAACAAATTGAACGAGCAAAGTGCGGACGAGTGAGCCTCGGCTGAGCCAACCCCGTCTGACCGAAAAACACGACACATAAAATGATGAGTGATCCAAGAACGAGCGAAGCGCAAACATTCGACAGCTATTGCAGCTGCTGATTCAAGCAAACAATGGCGTGACTTTATGTCATACAACACACCAAATCCTATAATACTAGACCTCCCCAGTTCAGCCAAGTATTTCCACTACGTAAATCTTATGGGTCTTATGGGTTATCATTAATATTTGGTGTGAGTGGCGTTAGACTACGGGTTCGGTTCGTACTGTTTACATCCGCACGGGACTACTTCGGAGAGCTTCGGAGGCGCCGAAACAGCCGCTGAGGCGAGAATCAATAAACACGACAGCGAAGATAAGGACACCAACCGCAACGAACAGAGGCAGCCACGAAAGCATAAATAGCGGAAGGATGAACAGCGACATTTGATTTGAGAACGTTTAGCATAACCGCCGCCACCATCAACAGGGCCAACAATGTCAACTCCGCAACAAACACGAGCGACAACAACATTAGAGCAGCAGCAGCTACAACGCCACTACAACCGCCGCCGCCGCCGCAATGAACAAGGGCAACGACAACAACGCACCTCTCCGGCGAAGCCAACGAACGAGGTGTCCTCAGCCTTGTAGCTAGAGTCCTCGTCCGCTTGGACCGCAGACAGGTCAGCAGACCCCCCGGTGTCCGTGAAAACGGTCTGCAACATACAAGAAACACCCCAGATAGTTGAGACAAGAAGGCAGTTGAGACAAGACGGTTGAGACAAGGAAGAAAAGAAAAACCGTTCAGACATCAAAGACAGTGAAGAAAAGAAACACAGTTCAGACAAGAAAGACATTTAAGACAAGAAACACAGTTCAGACAAGAAAGACAGGTAAGCCAAGAAAGACAGGTAAGCCAAGAAAGACAGGTAAGCCAAGAAAGACAGGTAAGCCAAGAAAGACAGCCAAGACGAGGAAAACAGGTAAGACAGGTAAGACAAGAAAGACAGCCAAGACGAGGAATACAGGTAAAACAAGATATACAAGAAAGACAGGTAAGACAAGAAAGACGGTTAAGACAAGAATGACAGCCACGACAACGTGGTTGAGAGATTCATCACCCAAAAACAAGCCTTGCGGGGGGGGGGGG